TACATATATATATTTATGTATTTATTTATTTATTTATTTAAAATGTCAGTGGAATATAGAAATATTGTACACCCAATGCTTATTCCTGTGAACTGTAACTTGATATTGTGATTGTTTGTTTACTTGCAGCATTGACTGGCTGTTCATCTACTTGCATATTTATTGACTGGTGGGACCATATTCTGATGGACTGAAATTAAATGCCAGCTAGTGCTATGGACATTAAACAGCCTATATGGGTAATCTTTTTTCTCTTCTGCATACTTATTAAAGAGCAGTTATTAAAAGGCACTTATATGGCTTGCTATGGCTGTAAAGCACTGTGTTTATGATTAAACATTCCTGCAGCATGTTATTTTGAGAGATCCCGATTATTATATATATATATATATATATAAAACAAGCTGATAATGTTGATTTAAGTTGCAGGAAAAAGCAAGTGAAGCCTTGGTTTTCTTCATAAATTTGGTCTGATCTGGGTCACAACAGACAAACAGTCAGGTTAAAAAATAACCTATAAAAAATAGTCATTTTATGGCTTTTTTATTTATTTATTTATTTATTGAACACATTGTACACTTTCACAGTGCAAGGTGGGTTTAATAACAGTTTGAACTTTGGTGACACTAACCTCCACAAACATTTTCAATTGCGGATCAGAACAGTCAGGAGGAAATCTGTACTTTTCCTCTTCACAAAACGTTTCAGGTCAGCAATATTCTTGGGATGTCTGGTGGCTCTCTTGAGGTCATTCCAAAACATCTCACTCGGATTGAGGTCAGGACTCCGGCTGAGGCACATCAGTAGGAGTATTTTCTTTTGTTGAAGCCATTCTGCTGTTGGTTTGCTCCTGTGCTTTGGGTCGTTGTGCTGTTGCATCACCCAAGTTCTCTTGAGTTTCAAATGGAGGACAGATGGGCTTACATTCTCCTGCTAAATGTCCTGATAAACTGGGAATTAATTCATTAATTGTGTCAATGATAACAAAGCAGCCCCAAACCTAGTGTTTCACATTCTTTTTCCACTCTACACTTGAATGTATACACAATAAATACATTAAAATGTATAGTTGTTTGTTTGTTATTGATTTGAGCAAACTGTGGCTAAGCTGAAGATAAAATAACATTTTATGACAAAGGGTTCACATACTTCATCTTGCAACTGTATTTCACAACAAAAAAATGGGTAAATGAGATGCATTCATATTGAGTGGCACCTCAATCGCTCTGCACAGCATGCATGTCTGCCATGGGGCTTCATTTCACAGATCAGTTTGTGCTCTTTAAAGAAAACAAAACCTTGGATGTGAATATGTTCCTTAGGATTCACAAAAAAATTATTGAGATTCATAATTTGTTAGTCAATTGTTGCTATCCCTGTAACTCCCCACTGTAATTTCCTCACCATATTTGGAACCATCAATTTTTAGTTGCACAGCCCAGATCTTTAACCTTTACATCCTGTTTCACTCTTTCAGTAACTGCAGTTTCATAATGAAAACAGGGATTCAGCTATACAGCTATTTAGGATGTAATTCATACATTATGTACACAGTTGCTTTACACCTACTTTCACTGTTGCTTTGCACTAGTCATTTTTGTCTTTATACTTTGATGCTTCATATGCAGCCGTTACTTACTGTTTTCCTGAAGCTGCAAGTCAGGCATATAATAAATAAATACATTAAAATAATATATTTTCTTATTTTGCACTTGCAGGTTAAAACACAACATGGTAGATGGCTGTAGGTGGGTTGCAACCCACACATACTTAATTTGTTCAAGTGCTAACTATAAAATCAAACAATCACTCTATCAAAATGAGACATATGCCCAATTCTAGGAAGCCCTGTTTCCTGTTGCATTTAGTCAATATTTGATGTCTTCATTTCCGTTGCCACGGCAACGTGATTTCTTTCAGCACATCTTATTTCCCATGTCAGTTTAGTGTGGACTAGGGGAAATTTTTTTAAATCACAAGTTTGTGATTTAAAAGATTAAATTAGAAGTAAGTCT